TTCAGTGGTCCCGTTGTAGATCCCTGGTGGCATTCCATATTTAATTTGCTCCGTGTTTGACTCATTGTGTTCTTGCCTTGCCCTCATTATTTACTGCCAATTTAGAAAACACTGACCAACTGAAAAGACATTTCCAATGTTGTAATTATCACGTGTCTTTCTTCATAAGGAACACTAACCAATGTACATATAAAAGTTTTGAAATATCTCAACTGCATACCAGGCTACTTTGCACGAAACGAAAGTTAATATTTTCATTAGCCACCAGGCAATTGGAAAATTGCTATAACGTGCCATTTGATGGGGAGAATATTTTAAAACTTTGTGTCTCTTCCCTGCCTTGTTACCTTAATTGTTCSGCGGTTCTTTCTTAGTTCTTTTTCTCATTAGAAAGATGATGAAGTTTCTTTTYGTTTTTGTTTTTATATTCTTCCCTATCCCTCCTCCTTTCTTCACTGGCCCATCCTTCTTTTCATTTAAGGGTTTACATCGTATTCACTTTCGGTTTTGTCATCCTCAAMCACAAGCTATTGTGCAAAGCGATCCAATGTTTCCTACTTTATTATTTTTCAGCTGCGACCAACCGACKACATTGCCTTCACGCTTGGAACATGACTTGGCCAGGACTGACACTTGTTGTGGTGTAAAGGTACTATTCCAGACATTGACATTTGTAATGTTGCCCTGATAACTTTCGGGTAGCGAAAAGCCGCCATTGTAACTGTCTTGATCATTACCAAGTATTAGCATRCCTAAAACGATGGTGATGGTAAGCAAATATAGTGAGCACACAGGGGTTTTGCAGGGGTTTCACGGGGAAGAGGTGCTCCAGATTCATTGTGAGGAAGAAGGAGATTGACAACAAAATTGTTCGACGAGTATTGTTTTTGAAAAAAAAACTTTTGAGAAAACACTTGTGTTAAAAGATTACATGTTTATATTAAAATAGACTGCTCTACGAGAAATGCTATAAGAAGATTAAGCTTAGGCAAACATGATTCTTTTTTGGAACAATGTCACGTAAAGTCACCCTGAGTATAGTTTGATGACATCAACTTTTTTCGACCTTACAACGCTTATTTTTAAATCAGTTGTACATATAATTAAAAAACATAATTAGGGAACACTCCGAGGAATTGCGATGGTGTCCGCCATCTTATTTCTTTTATAAATGCCATGATATATTTCGAAAGTTGACGCCTTTTTGGGAAATGAAACATTTATATTGAGTTTTACAACAAATAGTACATCGTTACTTACATCGTTACATCGTTACATCGTTAATTAAAATTACCTTTACCAATAGGACGACCAACCCCTGTCACGCCCTTTTTCCTGCTGACTCCATCGATAAATATGTTATACTGTCCACCTGTGGACTCCCATGTCAAACTAATGTGGTGCCATTGACCGTTCGCTACAGTTGCATCTGGAATTCTACCACTGCAAAAAGTAAGTAATGTTTTCAACATGAGCGGCCGTGTTGTATGGGATTTTAGAATCTCGAGCCGAAGGCGAGAGATTGTAAAGCCCATATATTACGGACGCGAATCTTGTAAATTACTTGTGAAACGTTTAGGTGTATACATTCATAATCTATAAAAAAAATTAAAGATAAAATTGAATTTGGCTGAGAAATTGAATTTGGCTGAGAACTTGGCTACAATTAGATCACATGACTCGCGGACTACGAGTTTAGTACTCGAGACAGAATGTCAAATTATTTCAGTATCCACCAAACTATATATATTGCAAATTTTAAAAAAGACCATAAAGAACAATTTTTTTCTTGGCCTTTTTGTTCGACTGTTTTCATTTTTTTCAATGCGAAAAATGGTCTATAATGAAATGACTACAGGAAAGTATCCAATCAGAATGCTGAATTTGTRATAGCTCATAATTTGTAGATGCTGGAATATAATATGATTTTATAGTTTGCGATATCTTAAAAATTCCGCGTTTTTTCTGCACTGGCTGTGATATCAAAAACAGATTTTTTGTCTGTTCATAGTTAAGACTTCTCTCGCTCTTTTGAACGTACCTCGGTTTGCTACATTGGTCTGTACTTCAAGTGCATGATATACCATACATATACTGGTACTTACATACTCGTATCGTGTAATATAAACCCATAACCTGTGCCTTTTGTTGTGAATATGACGATTTTATTAGCATTGGAAGTCGTTGCATAGCTRAAAGCTGTCGGCTCCGTTAACGAATCCAAGCCTTTRGGTTCTAMTTGAATCCACAACTCTATCGTGAGTGCGGGTAGTGACTCAAATGCATGTTCAAGGAAAGCCTTGTCTGTCKTGCTCTTCCCAGGAAACACTAAAATATCTGGAAAAAGCCATATATTGTGAGGCAAAACGTCTAATAAATATTAAAATAACCCTATAGAGGCGTCACCGAATGTTAACAATGGCAGGCAGTTTTTCTAATGATTATGGTCGCCTCTATGCCCTACAGCACAGGTAACCCGCTTCTCACCTTGACATAACTTGACATAACTTGAGAGGCAACACGTCTATGATAGGTAACCCTATAGAGGCGACGTCACAGCATCTTTACAATGAGAGGCAGATTTTCTAAGGATTATATATATAGTCGACGTTTCTTACCTTGACATTGCTTTGCAACACACTTGTAGTCCGTGCCGTCCTTGTCCATCGCACATTCCTGGTCGTCTTTTCTGCAATAAGACTTGCTGCATTGAYTCACAGGTCGTAGGAAGTAGTTCATATACACYGTRCCAACGGAGGAGGTCATGTGATCAGGTTTGCTCAAATGATTGGCTGAATTCAATTCRCAGGCTGTTTTCATTTCGTTGAAGTTGATACTATGGCARCTGCCGTGTKTYGAACATTTKTCRAGGCATGTTGRSATATCGTGGACGCCAGATTCTGTTTTTATGATATTGTGCTGTAGTTTCATGTTCCGTAAACTGTACGCAGTATTTGAACACTTGTCAGCTACGATACCCCTCAATAAGAAGATGCAAACGACAGCCACTATTGTTGACATTAAGTCCATTTTACACTGAAAAGAAGTAAAAAAGTAGGAAAAATGTAGTATTCTTAACATAGCTTTTTTTTTTTGCATTTGAAGGCAAACCTCTTCAGGGGCGTGATGAGGGAGAGGGCTCGATAGATGCTTACGACGTAAGCCGGAAGTAAATTGAAAACAATAGAAAACAAAGGAATGGAAACGAGGCCTAAGGGCCCTGAAGGARTTTAGATGGCAAATATCTAGAGATTCCATTCACCTAGATTCAAGAAAAATTCCTTGTCTGTACGAAAAGTACATTTTCTTGCTTCTTGTTAWATTCAAAAWGAATATTTTTCAATTCCTAAGTTACTTCCGGTTTATGTCGTAAACGTGTATCAGGGTACCTATATGATCCTTATTCAAAGCCAAATTGATTTTAAGAAAACACATGAGGATACAAAACTGATCGTTGATGTAGTTCAATGATAAACTTAGACTTAACTTAATCGGTTTTAAAGAGAATAAGACAAGAGTTTTTTTTGTCGCTCCGTGGTCATTTTTGGATTTGAAAACATAATTGTTGTTCTTCCAATGCCGTCATAGCAACTAGAGCAATACTTTCCAGCCAGTACCGGGGATGAAGACGTCTTATGTAATAGAACATATTTGATGCATTGTGAAGCTCTTCTTATTCATAAAGGGTTTATTATAGGTAAATTCATTGGGTGACGAGTGAATTCCGCGTTGAATTCACGAGTAAAGCCGATNGACAGACCAGGGCCACAAATCCTAAGATTTCTACAGTTTTCCATTCTTATCTCGATTAGAAATATCATCTATGAAGAAAAGACTTCGAAAGGTTGTTACTGAAAAATTGAAAACAAGTTTAAAGTCATATTTTGAGTCTTATTTGGACGAACGAAACTCGTCGAAGTCAGTAGTAGCCCTGACTTGCCAAGCAGACTTCAAAACCTACTTCATGTTTACTTGTGAAAGAAAGCGTACTAGTAGTAGACATTCTCAATCAAAAAGTAGCTGAAAAACTCAAACACAGAAACATTTCATAAATTCATCCCATAACTTGTTCTGGCATGGAATATTCAAGAAAAAATGACAAGCGAAACAGCTTTAGTTTTCTGCAAGAAACGGCGTGCAAGAAACGGCGAAGGCCGCTCAATTTTTGTTTACGTAGATGAACTGATCTTGACAAACTTTAAAATGTATTACACTACCATGCAGGTATTTAATAAATAGTATTTTAATAATTAATTGTGACGTTATATTTATGAGTTTTGGGGTATTTTTTCGTTTGAAAACGTTGCTTTTATCGAGTTAAACTTAACTAACTTAAATGTGTTTTTGTTTTTGCTACTTAATTTGCAAAAAATAAAAATATTTTGCTTCTTGAAATCTAGAGAAAGTGAATAGACAAGTTGTTGGGAACTAAAACAATTAGATAATAACTTTTGCCAGGGTTTTACACGGATTTTGTGAGTAAATTGTTGAAATAACGCAAGTGTTTTGAAGGTAGCTTATCGGGGCGTTGAATTCAGGTTTCTCAGCGTTGAATTCAGGTTTCTCACCGTTGAATTCCACTTGAAATACCCTCTCATCTGGTTGACGTGTTGACCAACCAACGCACGACTTTAAAATTGAGGTATGAGATTCTAAGTCAAAAAGCATAGTTTTTGCACTTTAAAATATTGTCATGATCAGATTTTGTGGCGCTGTCCTTGAAAAAACTGCATGTGGACTTATCTATTGCTGACCAAGTTTATAGATAGCATGGCATAATAGAATATTTCTTTCTTTGTTTAAAAATTACTTTCCAAGCACTTACTGAAAAAACTTCTAAAAAACCTTGTTTACACTCTGAAATTTATTCATGAGAATTCGTAATTTACGCCTTTTCCGATAGACCGTTTGTGGGGAGTCTACTTTTCCGAAAGCGTGAAAGATTTGTCTTTTGGCATTTTTTTATAATATAATTATTTTCAGCTGTCCGGGTTTGAATGGATTATACATTCGAATATTTTTTAACCAAGCTCTAAAATTTCGCAATAACAAATCCTGCGAGCAGAATCCGTCCTTTTTTGAGAAGGTATCATGAGAGACGTTTCCAAAAAGCACCTAACGGTTTAGTGGAAATAATTATTATTTTTATAGAAGTTCCAAGAAAGAAGAGCATTGTTGCTAGGTGATTAATGCACAGTTTAGTTCGCGTTAAAAGGAAAAAAAATACCTGAGAAGGCAAAGAAAAAGATGTTCGGCAAATTTTGGAACTTTTTTTACTTCATAATTTTGAAATCTTATTACGTGAGTTGAGTACATTACTAAGTAGAACAGAGGGGAAGCAATTATAAGAAAAAAGGAATGGCTTCCCAGGTTCCATTTTGATTGCTTTTCTACATTATAAGGACTAATATACAAAACCGAAAAATGTTTGGCATAATTTCACGTTACTATACGTAAGAAATGCTTTCTTTGACACAATAACAATATTTAATATTTCTCTGTACGTAGGAGTCATATCATCCGAAAGCTCGGAAAATAAAACATATACAAACGTAGACGAAGCAGTGTTTGAAATAACAATATTATTTAATTTTTTTCTGTTTTTATTTCTTCTTTTTTCTTTAAGGATKTTTTTCGTACTATTTGGCATACTTTGTGGCGTAAACAATTACAAGTTTGATAAACATGATGTAATTTCAAGAAAAATGCAAAGAAAAAGTCCTTTTATCACTTGTTTTCCGAGAGATTCCCAATTTGTAAATGGATTGGAGCACTAATAAATAATCTCATGAAAATTTAATGTATTCTTTTCRTTGATTAAAAACTTCTGTCGAATAGTCATCCTAGCCTAAAAGATTGACAACTTTATATAGGAACTGACGGTTTTGCAGCTCCTGTGAGAGATTACTCAACTGGAGAGATTCGCAGTTAACTGAAACTATCGGCGAAAATAAAAATGTATTATCTATTATATTTAATCGACAATTCCGAGCCTAAAATATATGTTTTAGCTCGCCTTGTACCGGCTAATCTTGTTAAACATATATAGATTTTTCTTGTTACCCAATTGTTTTGATAAATAAAATTCTGAGATTGATTAAAAGTAGAAAGAATAAAGTAACTGTAGCGAAAATTCTAGCTCACCTAAAATGTGACGCTCTGCAGTCTTCCGAGACTTTTCCAAAATGGAGACGGACTACTTGTTATCAACTGAGAACTGTTTACGAAGATTAAAAGGTGTTTATCAGAATGTTTTGTTTTTTTTAATAACTATACTCAAAATCGTCCAATAAGGTACTCAATTCAACGTACATGAATTATTTATAAGTCAAATATTTCTTAATGGAAGTGTTAACTCAGAATGGGGTATTTCAATGACGTTGTCGCTTAAAAGTGCGATGAATGCATAATCTAACAGAAAGTCACTCAATAAAACATGAATGGATAATGATCGTTTTTCTTTAAAATACAAGAACTAAATGAAACAATGTCAAGCAATTTCTGTTCGAATTTACGATACAAAATAAATGAAGTAACCATGTTTACCGCTTTCGGGTACTGTACCGGAAAAAAACTGAATTCTCAAGACCATCTTCTTTTTCATGGAACAACACTTGGTTCAATATCTTTAATTTAAAAATTAAAGATGTTGARCCAAGTGTTGTTCCATGAAACTTGCCGACAATTTTCAAGTACTTTCCATCAATATTAGTGCCGAGTTTATTGTCARTGCTATAATTGCTATCGTTATTTTTATTGGCATCGCCGTCTCCAGTGTCATTGACATTGCCATTGTCAAAGTCAGTACTCTGTCACCATAAAAGGTTTACCTTTAGTATTTTACCATCGCAGTTAGCATCGCCTTTCACCTGTCCCAATACCATACCATTACCAACACACTATCAACAACATTGCCATTATTATTAATACTTTTGAGTCTGTGCAAAATTGATTTATTTTAACCAAGCATTCGGGCTAAGCAGCCATTTTCACGTGTACTACAACCTTGAAAATGGCTGCTTAGGCCGAGTCGAGCTTGGATTGAAATAAATCAATTTTGCACAGAAGACTCAAACGTATTGATAATAATATTAACAACAAAATAACCATGTCATCAATACTATCCATGTTAATACCACCGATTCTTGTACCCCTATTAATACCATAAGAAACCCAATTACCATGGCATCGATTCTTTTTAACTCGAAGATTGCGAAGCAATCGAAGAGTRATAGGAGGGAGATGAGGGAGATGATGTGTGAGGGGGACTAGTTAATTAGTCACTAATTTTTTTTTCTGTAAACATACGGGCATTTAGAAATCCGTAACCAAGATGGCCAGGTGTTTTGATGCAGAAATGGCTTTTTAAACACACAAAATGTAATTTTTAAGGTCTGGAAGTTCTTGTATAAGAATCTGTTGATTTCAGAAGTCGTTTTAGGAGATATTGTGTGAATATGGCTCATAAATACAGCATTGCTATTACGATGATTTCAAGGATTATTCCGTTCCACGTCGATTAGTGATTTAATGCTCATCGATTCTATAAACTTTATCCTTCGTAAGAGGCTTTATACAGACAGATTTATTGTCTGACAATCTTCGAGTTKTGTCGCCATTGGCGGCTTGTTTTAATATCATGATCATCGATTCCAGTAACATCATCAATTCCCCTAGTAACGTAATTACTAACGTTATTATTGCAATACCATATTCAATRATTGTCAGGAGGCCGGGGCCCACGGGGTCTGTCCTTCTAAATAACTGTTCTTGTACGAATTTTTTCCTGGTAAAGGGATTTTTTGCTACATTGTTGACAATCTCACAAGCAAATGTGGCGCCCT